AAAAACAGTAAAGAGAGGATTTGCAACCGAACAAAAGTTGAGCAACACACGCAAAAACTTACCATTGATAGTGCCAATACTTTTGTGTGTGCGTGTTGATAGTGAATAGTATAAAATGGTATATTCTTTTTAAAGCCTGTAGTTATGGGGATTTTTGTGGTGCTTGTTTACTGTTTGCTAATATTAAGAGAGGTTTCAATCTAAATTTGAACAAAGCGAATTAAGTACACAAGTAAATGAGAACGACTAATTTCCACTCATTCAATCGAACCTTGTGAGTCTAGAACGACCAAGCATTGACTCGTGACTGTGATCTGTTTCTAATATCGTGTTTTNTGAAGTTGTTAAAAGATGATAATGATAATAATAATAATCATAAAACATTTGTTACTTTAGACGAGAATTCATCGAAAGAAAAAAACACGAAAAATGGAAAATTAGAAAATGGCAATTAAAAAAATAAAAAAAAAAAAAGAAATTTTTTACAAAGAAAAAAGAAGAATCTAATAATAATAATAAAACACAAACTTTAATATTTAAAAATTACGCGTCAAAGTCAAATCAGCTACTACTACTACTACTACTAGACAAGGTTTACTTTTAGCACAAAGTACACTACTGCTCCTACTACTTAAACTCACTTACAGCCTAATCTACTATACTATACTAGCGCCACTCTTCAATATTACCATACTTAGCCTTAGTATACTGTACTATACTATACTATACTATACTTCTATCCACAGTATTGAACTTCCTTACGTAGTTGAAAACTAACTAACTAACAAACTAACTAACAGCAGTATCCACTGTCTCTTTCTCTTTATATACTTTATTGCTTAAGTATACATCTGTCTGTCCATGTATATCTGTCTTTGTTTATCTGTGTTCTAGACCTATTTCTTACCCTAAAGGAGTTTTTTTTATTGAACAAAAACAATATAAACTGCTACCAACTACACTACAAACAATACACTACAAATTTTTTTCTTCGTCTTCTTTTTCTTTATACGTCTAATTTTTGTTCAACAAACATCACTCCACCTACTTACTAACCAACCAACAAACCACAACTACTCACCTCTACTACGTTCACTACCACATTCACTACCATCTGCATCTATTCTCTACACTACACAGTCCATTCATTATTACTACAAGCTTCCCTTCTTTTTCAAAACCATACCTTGTCAACCCATATATCTTTCCAATATGCCACACTCGCTATTACTGCATTCATTTATCTTGATTGCCACAACCATAATAGTGTTTGTATCGCAAATAACTTGCGTCTATGCAGATTGGTATCTTCCTGCTAAACAAGTTGGTTGCTACTCTCAAATATCAAATGGCAATTCACAAGGAGACTACCAGTGGCAATCTTCAGGTTGGTGCTCTTCTGTTGGATGTGCCAATAGCCCATATATCGCCATAAAAGACAAGGAGTGCATATGCTTATCCAGCTTGCCCTCAAGCAAGGCTGACGGCTCAAGCTGTAATATTCCTTGTCCAGGTTATGGTTCGGAACTGTGTGGTGGATCAAACGATTATTCAGTATTTGTTGGAAAAGGTAGTAGTGGAGACGACTCGTCGTCTTTGTCATCACCTTCAGAAAACTCTGCATCAACAACAGCAGAAGCAGCTTCATCAAGTCAACAATCTTCTTCTGCTTCTGCTTCTGCTTCTGCTTCTGCTTCCTCCCCAGCAGGAGCAAACAACAACCAACAATCTTCAACAACGGTCAATGGTGCAGATGGAAGCTCTTCCAACACAGCAGCTGCCACAACAATCCAAACAACTACTACCAACAGCAACAGCAACAACAACAACAACAGTCCTTCCGTAGTAATAATCACCAGTACTGCTAGCTCAAGTGGTGGCGATAACGGAGGTGTCATTTACAGAACAGTCACTCAAAGTGCGTCATCAGCCACAACTTCATTATCTTCATCAACTGCAGAAACACAATCTACTTCTGCATCAAAGTCTTCATCCTCCACATCTACTTCTACTTCAACTAGTGATTCTAAGGAATCAAATGCAGACGGTAATGGTGGCAAGAAAACTTCTGCTGGAGCTATAGCTGGAGGAGTAGTTGGTGGTGTTGTTGGGGCATTGGCTATAGCCGGTGCTGCACTCTTTTTCATTCGCAGAAGGAGATCCCAAGACGACGATTATGACGATTACGACGAAGAAGGATTTTACAATGAGAAACTGAGCACAGGAGGAGGAGGAGGAGGAGTTGGTGGTGCTGGTGCTACCACTGGTGCTGGTGCCGGTGCCGGAGGTTCGATAACGCGAGGAATTGGGTCACACAAGGGCTCGTCTAAAAAGAATAACAAGCAAAGAGTACCTTCACCTTTAGATATGCCCATGGTTAATCCATTCCAGCACCCAGACGATGATTTAGTACTGAATAATACCTCAACTTCAGCTACAGGAAACCCAAGTATACGGCAGTATCAAGGAACAAACGGAAACGGACATGGGAATGGGGCTGGCGGCTTTGTTGATCCTAGATTGAACCCAGTAATGTTTGGTAGAAGGCGATTATCGGATGGTTCTTTGGCGGACGAGGCAACCGATTTCCGTGGGAAAATGTTACAAGTGGCAAACCCTGATGAAAATTGATGAAATTTGATAGCACCCCATGGACGCACAAGTCCAAGGAGGTGGGGATCATGAGGATATCACCGCATTATTGTTCACGTTCAATTTAGTTTGGATTGGTGAATCACAATGCACATAACTACAGATTTTTTTTTCGAACATTCCAATCCTACAAGTTTACTGGTATGTTTTATTTTTCTTTCCATTCTAATCCCTCACGATTATCACTATTGTACGTTGTCGCATGATATCCAGCGGGGAGGGGGTGATATCGACTACTGCTTTCGATTATATTATTGTTTTTGTTGATTTCACTATTCAGTTCGTTTTTGGTTTTTTACTTTTGATTTAAAATTTATGTTTTCTTTTCAATTATTTTTGTCACGTTTTATGGTTGTTGTCAAGGCGAAAGAGGATGGCGAAAGAGGATGGCGAAAGAGGGGTGTGTTTAAGGTTTAGCCCCCCCCCTTTTTTTTTTTTTTTCTTTATTGATTGATTATACATGAGTATGTTCTTGTTAATGCATCGATACGTTTTGGTTGCACTTGTCTTTTGTAGAGATCATAACTCTAGTTATTCTTTTGCAAAGGCGTAAGCCTCTTGTGAACTAAGATGAAAGGGTTGTGTTGATAATTATGACTTTTGAAAGCACCGAAGATGAAGAGAGTGTATCTTAAGAGTTTTACGAGTTTTACATCAATGTCTTGTACTCTGTTAATTGTAGCCAGAATAGGGATGGTATCATGCTAAGAGACCTTTTCATACTCCTTCTTCAATATACCAATAAGTTTGTCCTTGGTTAAGGTGGACATATAGCTTCTTTAGCTTCACACTTTGAATGATAGACCGAACGGTAGCTCTCCTAGACCCATTCTTTTTTTTTGTTTCTGTGTTTTCTTTTCTTATTTTTCCGAAAGTGAGAAAATACTCACACGCAAAGTAGAATCACACACCTTCAACTACAACATCAAGGTTAAACCACATAATGACTACTTATGAGAGGGTATGTAACCATCTACGAGAACACATTCAGTGTCTGCGTGCGTGGGTCTGCAACCGACTGATGATAGTCCGTCAACCTTTATTTTGTACTTCTTCTATTTGGGTTTGCTGCGCCCATCACCGAAATCAAACTCAGTCTTACTAACACTTTCAAACAGTTGAACAGAGACAGCGAAGAGATAGAAAGCAATAGTGACACCTCAAGAAGTGGGAACCCCCGGTTGTCATTCTCGAGTCTGGTACTTCCAGACCAAACCAATATCAGCAATGACACCACGACCACCACCACTTTGCCCTCACAATCATCTTCACCATCACCATCCTCATCCTCATCATCAATACCAAATCCAAACGATTTAGAATCACAAACACCCCCACGTCTTACCCCAAAACAACGCATAATACGAGTGCTCAACCACTTACTACCCGTGAAACAAACTTACGAACGACTCAATAACGGATTACAAACGGGCCGAATGCAAGCCAATAGACCTGGCAGATTTATTGGCCAAGGAACTGATGGCGTCTTCCAAAACTTGATGGCAAAACCAGATACCGCCTCCACTCTTCAACAACAGCATCGTGAATTACATCCACCCACTTATGACGAAGCCAGTCAAGATAACAGTCCCGAGTACTGGGAATCCACCATGATTTCACCCATGTTTGACGATGAGGTGTTTGTGCAAGGGTTGCCCGTGGGGAATATAGCCAATTTTATATGGAACGCCTTGGTTACGGTTGCATTTCAGTTTGTTGGATTCATCTTGTGTTATTTGTTGCACACGTCACATGCTGCGAAACAGGGGTCGCGGTTGGGGTTGGGAATCAATTTGGTCATGTATGGATGGGATATCTTGCCTGCGTTTGTCGGAAGTGCCAAGGATCCTCCTAAAAAGATTCAAGTTGATAATCCCAATGATTATGAAATTGAAAAGAGTGCAAAGATAAGTGGCAAGATAGATAGCTATATAGCTCTGGGTTTTTTTGTTCAGAGTCTGGATACATCGGGCACGAATCCAGATGGAGTTGCGGATGGATTAGAGAATGGGAGCTCTTCTACTCCTTATGTTGCTTATGGGTTGATATCATTTGGTTTGTTTATAATCATCAAAAGTATAGTGGATCTATACAAGGTGAAACGGTTGGAAAGATCGATATTGAGTCCATCCGCGGGGGCAGGTGCCAGCACTACGGGTACTACTACTGCTACTGCTACTGGTACTGCTACTGCCACGACAGAAACTCAGGAGAGTCAAGATTCCACCAATGGCCAAGACCACGGGAATCAAGATACAACCGACCTACGCTAGTTAGTCTACCCTCATGATAAATATTATCTATTGATGCACACCACCATTCCTCTTTGACAACTGTTTCAGTTGTAAACCTTTTCTAGACACGCCTTGCTCTCCTCTCCTAATGCAAAATGACCAACATCTTTTCATATATTGTAAATACAATACCTCCACTCAACACCAATCTCCCCAACCTTGGCGTGGCACCCTTCCAGAAAGTCAACAACCCTTCCTGCTTGAAAATCTTGACAAAACAATCCAAAGTCGACCTATACAACTTCTCCGACCCCAAAGCTTGCATTCTCGTCTTGACGGTATCTATAGGCATTGTCGTATACACCGTGATAATACCAGCAAAAGCACCCACTGCAAAAGTTGCAGCTGAGCTCAAGGGTTGGTTTGGCTTAGTTCCTGTGGCCTGCTGGATCATGGTCTTGATGGCATTATACGACCCCAACCTCACTGCTTGGTTAGCAGCTTGACGTAAACTTACAGGCACAACACCAGCGTAAATCCCCTTGAATCCCATATCTTTAACCAACTTCACTGTCCCGCTAACCAATCCCAGTTGGTACCTTGGCTGAGGGCGCTGCTTGTCGTCAATAAGCCCAGTCTTGATTGCTTCAAATGGAGTCACGGCAACCACACTCTCTAATAGCCCAGCACCCAACCCGGCAATGACACCTCTGGGTCCTGACAATTTCCCCTGCTTGTCAACTAACAAGTTCTTGATGTAATCAAACCCCAAGAATCGCACGGATGCCTTTGCCGTGTTTCCAACCACAAATGCAGGACATCCCACGTATAATGCACCTATTCCCTGGGTTTTGCCAATAGTGTAGATTAACTTTAACGGGTTCCTCGATGTGGTTTTGGCGGATTTGTCAATTAGTTGTAATCTGGTCTTGGCAAATTCGAAAGGGTAGGTCACCACACCTTCAACGGCACCTGCTGTACCTCCTGCAATGAATGATTTGAAGGGATCTACTTGCTATGAAAAAGTTTGTTAGTTTCGTGATTGCATGGACATTTCGATAGAAAAGGCAGGAGCAGGTAGATGATTTCAAATTACCCACCGAGCATCTGTCTATTCATTGTACGTACTTCTTTCTTAGGCATGGTATATGTGGACCCTTTTCCTATTGCAAAATTATATGTGGAGAGAGAAGGGAAATCGCTCTTTGGAGCGATTTCGGTGCGAGAAATTTTTCAACTCTTTTTATTTTTTTTTCGTCGTTTTTAGCCGTATTGAGTCACTGAGTCAACGCTAGAGCTACTGTAGAGGTAATCCATTGTGAAAATAATACTAATACATTGCTATACATGAAACACCTCAGTCCGTTTTTATAAGTGCTCCTCTTGTCCCTTCGAGGCTTACAAATCTTCCTACTCTTCCGTTACCTCAACCGACATCTTATAGTCACGTTGAACGAACCCTCCAATGGATCGTGATGATATTGTACTCGATCGCTCAACGCAGGGTCAGGCGTCGGCGGTCTATAGTCGGGATTTTTCACTTGAGTTCGATTGACAAATATCTCATCACACTCATAAACTTCAGGGACTGCCAAATCAATAGCTCCAGGTAGTATACTTGATGGTGCTGGAGTTCGGAAAGTCTTGGGCACATCCGACAAGTCAGGGATCACATTACCCCTACCAATATGAGCTGCATTACGTCTCGAAGACAGGAACCCTCTTGAACTGCCTGTACTTGGAGCTGTTTTGATAAACGCTTCGGTTCCAGTGGGAGTAAATGTTCCAGAGCCAAATCCACCACTTGGGGTTCCACCAAAGCCACCAAAGCCCTGTCCTTCTTCATTGTAATTGTGTCTTCTCTTCCGTCTGCTTTCCCTTTCCATTTCCTTGTCCAAACGCTCGAGCTCCAATTCTGTCAACTTGATCAACTGAGGACTAAACTCAGGCACATTTGACGGATTTCTCAATATCGAGAAAAAGTCATCGACAACTTGATAATCCTTGGACACCAAGCGTAATGATGGAAGCAAATGATTACGAATAGAATCCTCAGTAACAGGGGTCCCATCGTAGTTACACCCAACCAAATTCAAAGCCCTGATATACATTTGACATTGTTCTCGAATGCTATGGGCTATAGTGGTGCTAAACTCTCCTGGCAAGTAAAGCTCATCGCACATAATCATGGCAAATTCTTCTGGCTCGTTCTCATTAGTATTAAGAATGTCCCATTCAAATTGGTCAGTAAGTTGAGTATTGTTCATAATGATGTCAATCTTGATTGGTATACGAATCTCGCCAGTGGTTTTTGTAGGCTTTTGTTGATACTCGGCAATTTGCTCCTTGATACTATTCAATATGGTTTGATAATGAATGCGTGGTATAAGTTTGTAATCATCCAACAATTGACTGGTGAAATCCTCCACTGTAAACACTTTCTCATTCAAGTCCCACAAAAAGGTGTCACGTAACTTAAACTTGTCTTTATCTTGGTCGAATTCAAGTCGAATAGGGACATAGTTTTTGGGACCCTTTGTTTGGGCCAATCTTTCATTAATCATTCGATCCGATATATCTCGCTCGGGAAGTAGGAGCCTACTTGCCGTATTTGTGATACCATTGCCGTACCCTTGGTAACCTTCACCCCATATACTATTGTTCATTTGATTCTTAGCACTCAACTGTATTGCGTTCATTCGCAACTGCTTTATTTGGTTGTACTGTTGTAAATCCCGAGCAGCAGATTCACCTTCATGCTTCATGGAGGCGTGCTGCTTTGCCAAGTTTGTCAAGTAGTCGGCGTCTTTTTGTATGATTTCCTCATACACGTCGGTGTCCAACGGGGGCGGTACACCTTCCAGCTCAAATTTATTTGACCATTGATCAAGACTTGTCAATTGCTTGATGGGTAATTTTCCCAGTAACTCCTGTGCTTTTGCTGGACTCACTCCAGGAATAGATATGGCTGAGTTCATCCGACCTGGCTCAATCAAACCACCTGGTCTATGCAAGTTGGGTTGAGAGGGTGTCTGGCCAGTAGCATTGAAAGAAGGAACAGTGGAAGTAGGTTGTACATTTGGAAATGGAGCTGCCCCGTTGGGTTCGTTCAATGGCATCGCATTGGGCACTACGTTGTTTATAATATGAGTATCAGCTACGCTTGCTGAAGGAGGTCCACCTTGTGCAATACTCGGTATATGTCCACCTGGTACTGCCCCGCCTCCGAATCCTGGACTTTGGAAATTGGCTCTTTGCTGTGGCATGCTATTTGGTACATTTCCTGGAAGATTGCCACTAAATCCTTGGGGAGGGGCTTGCAGTGCACGCTGTTGCTGTTGCTGTTGTTGTTGCTGTTGTTGTTGTTGCTGCTGTTGTTGTTGAAGATGAAGTTGTGGGCCCATTTGAGATTGTTGATAAGGTTGCGAAAAAGCGGTAGAGCCATTTGCTGCTAAGGGATTACCGCCCGGGACAGACAATGGCAGTGGCTGTAGTGGCTGTTGTTGTAGTGACTGCTGTAGAGCTTGTTGTTGCTGGGGCATGCTTTGTCCCTGAGGAAAGTTGGGGGTACCACTTCCAACGCTGCCACCTCCCCGAGGGAAAGCTTTATGTTGTTGATTCAAAAACTGCTGTCTTTGTATGTACTGCCGCATCATCTCCTGGAACTGTGGATGACCCTTCATTGCTTGCATTTGCTGCGGAGTCAAGGAAGCCAACAACTCTGGTGTCAACATTGGTAAAGAACCAATACGTGGATTGTGTTGTTGCTGTTGTTGTTGCTGACCCACCTGGCTAGGTTGTTGTTGCTGCATTCCTGGTTGCAATCCATTCATATCCATACCAAACATTGGAATATTGGTCTGGTTGTTGTCATTGTTCATGATTGTTAGCGCAGTATGAATCCTTCGAAGGTCCAGTTCTTAAAGGGCCACACTACTGTTTTGGCAAAAAAAAAAAAAAAAATCAAAAACCTTTTCAGCTGAAACTCTGGTGCTTTTTTGAACATTGGTACACGCATCTCATGTGAGATGGAGTGGTGCTGTGAAATACTCTTGGACTTGAAAGAGCATATTGCAGAAGACGAAGAGCAAGAAGAGCAAGAACAAGAACAAGAACAAGTGTATGCGTATAGATATATATGCTTGTACTAATAAATTAACGTGTAATAGTTTTAAAGGAGTTTCAAGAATGGAAAATGGAGATTACACAAATTGTCTCGACATATTATACAAAGCAATAATAATAGACAGTACATACATATACACAGTAACTATAATTGACATCACACAGCAGCCACAAAGCCCACAGCTATTATTACTATTATGTATCTGTTTGTATGTATAAGTAACTAAGCTCGATGCCATAGCGATGTTTGAACTGATATGCCTCAAATTAAGTGTTTTCTTTTCTTCTACTCTATACATATATATATATACACAAGTGACTTTTCGGAATCAGGGAAAAGTGAGAAAGGTTCGTCATCTAATCCTTGTTGTCGACCTTGTGGTCGTGGGTTGATGCGTATCTTCCTGATGGATCAGAATGACAGCCCCATTCAGCTTTAGGTACCCATCTCATGACCGTTGAAGCTGCAGCTTTTGAGTTGTTGAACATCTTGTCAAACTTGCATCTATACCAATAAGCTTCTTTAGTTTGTGGAATATCGTCACCCCATTCTGGTTTAGGGTTTTGTAAGTCTTCGTCACTAACCAATCTCTCAGCCGTATCTTTCAAACAATCGATCCATGAATATCCAACCCCATCGGAAAACTGTTCCTTTTGTCTCCACAAAATTTCGTCAGGTAAGTATGGGTTTTCTTTAGTATCAAAAGCTTTTCTCAAGATATATTTCTCAATGTGATCTTTAGTGATGAGCTTGTCTTTAGGGTCAACATTCATACAAACTTCCAAAAATTGTTTATCCAAAAATGGAACTCTAGCTTCCAATCCCCAAGCCATGGTTGACTTGTTGGCTCTGAGACAATCGGCGTAATGCAAGTTCTTGACTCTCTTGACACATTCCTCGTGGAAACTAGCGGCGTTTGGTGCATTGGCAAAGTACAAGTAACCGCCAAAGATTTCGTCAGATCCTTCACCAGATAAAACCATCTTGACACCTTGAGCCTTGATCTTTCTTGACAACAAGTACATGGGGGTTGATGCTCTAATTGTAGTGACGTCATAAGTTTCCAAATGGTAAATAACATCATCAAGAGCATCGATACCTTCTTCCAAGGTAAAAGTGTGTGAATGATGGATGGTGCCAATGTATTGAGCAACTTTTTCAGCAGCAACCAAATCTGGAGCACCAGGTAATCCAATAGCAAATGAGTGCAATTGGTTCACACCAACAGATGAATGCAATTCACCGGTGTTGTCCACACCTGACAACTCCTTGTTGGCGTCAATCCCGTGGTCATGAGATTTTACAGCCTCAAGATATGCCTTTTTAGTTTCTCTGGCAGCAATGGAGGCAATTAAACTCGAGTCCAATCCACCTGATAACAACACACCATAAGGAACTTCGGCCATCAATCTCTTTCTTACAGCCAACTCCAAAGTCTCCCTAATCTTGGTGTAATCAACTGGAGTGGTTGGAATCTTGGATCCATCCCACCACGAAGGCTCGAAATATCTAACAATCTTGTCGGTGTTTGAGTCATAAATGTGTCCTGGTGGGAAAGCTTCGATTTGGTCACATTCTGCAACAAGACACTTTAATTCAGAGGCAAAATATCTCGTTTCTGGTGATTTGGAGGATTTACCCAAATACAAAGTAGTGATACCAATTGGGTCTCTAGCAGCAACAATACGATCAGTTTTCTTGTCGTGTAAAACCCAAGCAAACATACCATCCAAATATTTTGGAGCATCAACATCATATTTTTCGAAAAGTGGGATAATAGGTTCACAGTCACTCAAACTCTTGTATTTGTAGTCAGGAAACTGTTGTCTCAATTGAATGTGGTTATAGATTTCACCATTGACTGCCAAGACATATCTTTCGTCTGGAGAAACAATTGGTTGAGCACCAGAGTCCAAACCAACAATGGCCAATCTTTCGTGACACAAGATGGTGTTGTTGTTGGCAATGACATTACCCGACCAATCTGGACCTCTGTGTCTTATTAGTTTGGAGTATTGCAAAGCCTTTGGCTTGAACTCTTCAACGTTTTGGCATTTGTAACAGGCAAAGATTCCACACATGATTTCCAGTACGACTTTGTTCTTAAATTATGGACACAAGTAGCTACTCTTTCTCTAGTGACTCAGTGAATGAGAGAAGTCTCGTCGTGTAGGTTCTGTTTGTAGACAGTAAAGGAAAGAAGTGAAGTTTGAAAAGGTGAAAAATTTTATAACGAGAGAAAAAGGGCCAAGATATCTCTCGTTCCCAATTGTGACTCTTTTTAATTTTTTTCTTTTTTCTTTTTTTTTCTTTTTTTCCACTTTAATTAGTGTGATGATTTGGTTGGTGATAGTGGATACACTTTGTACAGATACCAAATGAGTCATTGCGACTCCAGATAAGGGAGGATAGTAGATTGATATAGAGACAGATATTCACACGCATGCATACACAATACTATTTTCAACTGATTTAACCTTGGTATTACATGAAATTGCAAAAAATCTTATGACCTTTCAAAGAAAAAAAAAAAGAAACGAAGTTGCGCCATTACTGATATGTCAGAATCGGTGGCAGCACTCAGCACATCCGATACACTTGTTATACTCTACAATTGAGATCTCCTCTTGTCGTTATCATGAGTCCACCGCTGAAACTACATTCTTGATTCTTCTTCTCAATAATAGACATTAATTTAGTTTGCTATATAATTACACACCAACATTTCCCCATTTTCCCAATTATAAAATGCAATTCAAGTAAGCACACCCTTGTACATGCACTTTCCCTCTCTCTTTCCCTCTCTCTTTCCCTCTCTCTTTCCCTCTCTCTCTCCCTCTCTCTCCCTCTCTCTCTCCCTCTCTCTCCCTCTCTCTTCATCACTCTCTGCACCCATCCTACAACTTAAATCCCTGGCGGTATCTCCTTATTTGCTGCGAATCACGATCAAAATTCTTATCAACAATATCAATTATATAACTGATATTCACATCATCAACCAACAAGCTCTTTTCCCCATGACTCAAGTTCAACAACTGCATCAAGAACTGGTTCAATATATCAAGATCCTTGGGGTTCAAGATTTGCACAAAAGCCTTAGTTTTGGCTTTATTTTTAAAGATTTTCACCAACTGCAAGTTGTTCAAATAATATAAATCACTAACCAAATATTGCTTGTTTATCGATTCCAAGGATTTGAATCTGGCTTTCTTTTTCAGTTGATCTATAATGTACTTGAGTAATCCCTTTGTGGTTGGATATTTCAAATCTTCATCGTCCAAAATAATTTTAGCATGGGTTTGTTGACGCTTGGCACGGGCGTAGTTGTTGGCCAAATTAGTAGTCATTTCCAAAATATTTGTGATTAAAACAATGTACGATTCGATAAATGGTTGGGCTAAATTGGCAAATGTTTTAACGTATTGACGATCTTCAATCTTGTAATACGGCAAGTCAGGGACGTCATCCTCACTATCGCTGACAAGAGTAGCAGAAGAAGATGAGGATGAGGATGAGGATGTAGTACTGGAGGCAAACGATGCTGATGATGTGTCTGAATTGGCGATTGCTTTTCTTGGCTCAACTCTACTGATGATTCCTTGTTCAACCAAATCATCAAGTATGAAATTCAAATTGTTTCTTGGGTTTTCATCATAGTCAAATAAAAACTCATTCTTTAACAAACTTGTAACCACGTAAAACAATTTACCCAATATCCTTCTATTGGCACTGTACTCTCCATCAAGCAACATTAGGAGATACATGGCAATGCATTTGTGTATAATCAAATGGATGGTCAAGTTCTTGTAATACAACAACTCAATAGGGGATTCAATCTTGATCAAGTTTTTCTTTTCGTTAACTTTGATAAATCTAAAGAATGAAGCAATGCAGTATTTGATCACCGACTCAAGCTCGTCATCACTAGCATCCAACATGTCCTTCAAAATAATCTTGTTTGTCACTGACGACTCATTCTCCCTAAACAACAATTTCAAAACTAATCTCATTGTAGGAATCATTTCACTGGTTGTAAACAATGTTTTCCCACTATAGTCAGTATAAGCTTGTAAAGCAGTGCCAATAATGGAAATTTCAGGAATGAATGCAATACGATTGACCTCATGTAAAATCTTGAATCCCAATTTCTTCAAATTGACATCTTTTTCACTCTTGATTTCAACGTCTCTGTGTTGTTGTTGCTCACTAGCGAGAAACTCGCTCAATGTGAAACTTTGTCCCAATTTAACAAAAATTTTACCAGTCAAATTACGAGTTGAATTGTCGTAATAACCATCTTTATCATGAATCAATTGATCCTTCTTGGGGAAGAATGCCAGAGTTGCCACTGAAACTATACCAAAAAGACTTTCTTGCGTCTTATCATCTCCTCTCAACTCCTTCAAAAACGAATCGTTTTCATAAATACGTTCATAAGTAACACCAAGTGGTTGAAACAACATATCAAATGACGCATTGTGGTCCTCGTTACGTTGTTTCAAGTATATTGACACCAACGACTTCAATATTCCATACTTTGGTAACAACAACTTGCCATCTCTTGATCTAGTTCCTTCAATGAAAACTTCAAACGGAGTGTTATTGACCAAGAGAAACTCCATCACATTGTTCAAATTACGTTCGGTGTATAATTCGTTGTTGAATGACCGTGGAATAAAGATGGCACCCAACTTCTTCAAGAGATTACCAACAATTGCCACATTTAAATTCTCTCCGGCAATAACTGATGGAGTGGCGATATTGAATCTGATTGACATCAAATGAATGATGACATAATCCAAATGTGACTGATGTGATGGTGACCATATAATCGACATGGGGTTTTGAATGTATTTTTGAAACAAATTTGACATTTCTTGGTTAGAGACCCAAATTCCCTTTGGAAACAATTTTTGCATAATTGTCATAACAGTGACATAAGCACTTCTTATGAATTGATGTGATGCAAAAGTGGGCAAATTGATTTCATTTTGAGCCTTGTAGTACTTGATCATGTAGTCTTTAACTTCCTTGAATCTAGCTTTGAATTCAGATGCCTTGATCAATTTCATATTCAATTCTTGATTGATCAAATTGTATACAATTTCATCCAATTTAGGGTCATCCTTCTCCAATTTTCCATCCATGTGGTCTTTGAATTTCTTCTTGAATGATTCATCGTGTTTATTCATAAAATACTTGTATTCAACATCCTTGTAAATCTTGTCATAGTATTGTGCTCCTGTAAAGAAGCGATATGCTGAGTGCAACAAGTTAAATGACTGATGTAATGTCTTGACATTATTTGGACTATCGATATATGTTTCCTTATCGATTGGCAAGGGGAATTTCATATCAACCACTGGATCAATCAATGGATCCTGAAGAATATTGATGTCAAAATCTGAATTGGAAATACCTTCCATACCATCGGCGGCCGTCGTACTACTCATATTGCTCCAAGATACAAGGGATGTTTTGGTGGTCGGGAGCAGATGATGAAAAATGAACTTGGAAAGGGGAGAAAGAACAACAAAACAGAAGTACTAAGTTATATATATATATATATGTATTCAAGTATCTTGTTGGGTAAAACTTTTTTTTTTTTTTTTGTCGTAATGCTGATTGGTAACCGCCTGGAAAAGATGTGATTTTCAGAAACTATTTTGTGTATTGGACTTTTGAACTTTTGAACTTTTCTTTTTGCCTTATTTCCGGTTGGGGCAATAACACAAAACCACCTGAATTGAGGGTAAAGGCGAGAGATGATGGTGGTGTAGCTGTGTGGAGTGAGTCCGTGCCAGATAATGTCTATTGTCGTTAAAAAGGGTTAGTTGGACCAACTAGAGTGTTGAAATAGTATAACGCTTAAACATTGAAGAGAGATCTAGGGGGTGTAAAGGGTATAAAGGGTATAGTGGGTATAGAGGGTGCAATTATGTACAGCAACCTAACTGAACTTTAGAGATGACATTTGAATGGGGAGAAGGAGGTGGGGTACAGACATACAACTGAAACTTTTTTCTTTTTTTTTTTTGGTTCCCCTTTTTCTTTTACTTATTTCTTGAATTAGCAGTTGAATAATTGGCTTACGATCTTGACTCTTTTTCGAATTGTATGGTCTTTGCTGTTTGAAGGGATAACATGGAGCTGCATGTTGAAGAGATGTCCCTCACAATTTGCAGTGTATGCAAATCTTTATTTTCCTCTGTAGTGTCCCTATACCCTAAACTCGCCGTGATAATATTTCTTTGTGCTTCCACGGATGTTGGAGATAAGTATCAGTCTATTTTCTTAAGTCCTACGCAAATGGTCATATAGTTTAAATCACGTCAAAGTACAGTAAGCAGCGTCCTTCTCCTATTTGGCCGCATCGATTCAACCCGTGCTGTCATCATATAAACTAAGGAGAAAAACATAAGGCGGAAAGGCAGGAAGTCAATTGATAATGTGATACATCAAAGAGAGAGAGAGAGATACATAGTTTGTAATGAAGGGGTTTTACCCATATACGGTATAGTGTAAACTCGAGATAGATAGATAGATGGATGGATAGATAAAACTATAGTGGTTACACAAAATCCTAAGACCCAACAAAAATTTAAAATTACACAAAACAACACTTCAACACTTTTACGCAATACACATACACTTGCACTTTGCACTTGAGAAGAGTGTGTCTTTGTATGTAAACGTAGATCCCTACATTACTTGTTGGCTTTAGCATTAAAGAAGCTAGCGGTAGAATACGGTAGAATAGGCTGATAGTTTTTGACACTGAGGCAGACTCTGTCCAACTTTATTGCATTTAGATGACCACAGCGTCAATTACTAGGGACCTCATAAATGCTCAAACTGGCTGGTTACTCTGTTTGCAAATGGCACATACAACTGCAAATGTGGTCACTGATAAGAGTTAGAGAAAGACATTATGACGTAAATGATTCACGTAACCAGTTTTCACATTCACAAAAACGCTCCACTTTCTTCCTTTCCCCCAGCCTTTTCTCCTCGCTTATGATAATCTGCTAAATATAGCTAGATCTGTGGCTATTCCTTTCGTGTATACTTTTCAATCATTGTTCCACTTTTGATTCATAAAAGATAAATTGGAAAAGAGTTACACAACCTCGGTTTAGGATATTCAACTTTGAAAATTATCCGTACAGGGATCGAGATGGGTAACAAATTATTAATGCGCAAGATAAAGCAAATCAATCTAAAAGACAACAGAAGGAAAAGGAAAAACTCATACCAAGCTCATCTTCAAACAAGGCAAACACTTGCTTTTTTGTATTCGATTGATCCACTAGCTTAAACGAAATCTAAAATGTATTATTATATATATATATATCTAAATATGTAAGTAGTTTTTACAGAATTGAAATCAAGCAACTAACAAAATACAAAAAGAAAATAATAACTTCAAAAATGAATGTCCAAAACGCATGCATCAAAGAGAATAATATCTCTAAGACAACCCAAATGGTTCTTTCTTCAATATCGAGATTGTCAACGGTACCTCTTCCTCGTCATCCTCTTGCAACTGCAGCAACTTGGCACTAAAATCTTCTTCTTCTTCTTCATATACATCTTCATTGTGTACATCATGTCCATCATGTCCATCCCTGTCATCGCTTCCCATTAAATCGTCATAAAACTCATTATCAAACTCACAACCAACACTTCCCTTTTTTCCAGTGTTTGACTCGCCCGCCATATCCTTTCCATTCCGTTCATTAATAATCTCTTGTCTCAACCTCTCTCTAGAAGCAACAGTACCCTGACACAATCCAGTCTCAATATGTTGCACCAACCACTGAGAGTTGTTTTCGAAAAACTGAAAGCATCCAGCACACCTGCCACTCAATTTATTACGTTCACTAGATTTGGTGCCTGGTGGATAAATAAAGTGTAATGCTTTGAGGTGGGTCTTGAATGTGTCACGACGGCTGAATCCACCGGTGGGATGACACTTGGTGCCCAGTACAATTGCACCTGCCATTGAGTGGTGCTGATGCTGATGTTGATGTTGCTCGAGTGAAGAAAAGGTGCTTTCACCATCACCATCGCCGTCTTTTTCCTGATAAAATGGACATTGAAATGCTTTTGCAGAGCTATGTTTCTTCAAATGCCGAGTTAAATAACCCTTGACTTTAAACTGAGAGCTACAATGTGGGCATTCAAATGTGTGGTCAACCCTGCCATCCTTACCGGTATAGCTTAATTTGCGAACGGTTGTGTTGATAGTTTTGGTGGTGGTGGAGACAATCACTGGCTCCGTCGTTGTTGTTGTTGATTTCCTCGTTGCGCCTTGCACTGCCAGTTCTTGCTCTTTACCTTGTTCCTCCTTCTCGTCACTAGGCTCAACTTTGACCTGTTTGCTCTTTTTCAGTTTGTGCTTCAACGATTTCTCGCGATGCGGCCTCTTCAACAAAGATTTCATTACAATATCAGTTGGTGAGACAGGAACATCCGAATCAAGACTGGATGATGCAATTGAAGGTGAAGCAACAGACATTCCCGATGAGGAAAGTTTTCTCTTCCTGGAAAGAACAGAGACTTCGTCCTTACTGTGACCAAATTTGGCATTGTCGGGAAGGCTAAAGCTATCCAATTCATTGCGAAGTAGACTTTGTTGTTGTAGACGGTATCGAGGTTGGAAGTTGCTAAAGTGCAAGTGGTTAAACCCACCAAAAGTATTTGGAGCTGGTGATTGAAATTGTGCTAGCGACAGTGATTGTGGCTCAGGTATTGAAATTGAGTGGGTGTACGCACGACTTGTTAATGTGTCTCTTTGTAGTATTGACGAATCGACGTCAAATGGATACACTTCAGAGACTTCTTCCTCATTGTCACTGCAATGATAGAAGTTTTGACCATCAAACAGATAACGCACGTCGTTTGAAGTGATGGCACTATTATCCTGAAGAGATGGGCGATGCAACCTAGTAAGAATCTCATCATCCAACGGACTGAGAAAACTTTCAGTTGATGAAACTGATGACGAAATTAAAGCATTCTCGATTGAGGCTGATACCAATCTCGCTGATTCTTTGCTGTTTGCACCATCTCTAAATGCTCTGCTAGATGCGGGTCTGTGATGTTCAAAATCGTCAAAGTATGGATATTCCCTAGCTGCATCATTGTCGTCAACACCATTGTAAGACTTGTTGACCATAGTTTGTAAATCATGCTGGAAGTACCGATTGTCGTACATGGGTCTAGGACCGAATTGAATGAATGTGTTTTTACCCACGTCGTTGCCGACTTCTTTCTCATTGCGTATATTGGAGTAAAATTCACCTTCTTTGTCATCGTTGTTTTTATTGCTACTTTGGGTGCTCTTGTTGGTATTGTTACTGTTGTCGTTGGTTGTGTGACGATGCAGATGGGCAACAAGAAAGTCATCAAACATCGGCAAGTCATTTACAGGTGAAGACTGGTCCACTTGATCTGACTTCGAACATCGTAAGCGCTGTTGCTGCTGTTGCTGTTGCTGTTGCTGTTGCTGTTGCTGTTGCTGTTGCTGTTGCTGTTGCTGTTGCTGTTGCTGTTGCTGTTGCTGTTCCTTTTGTTGTTGCTGACGATTCACTTCCAATTCTTGCTGCTGTTTTTGCTGCTGAAATAAAGGAGTGCTTTTCTCCTCCTTATATCCACTTTTTTCAAAACGAGATCCATGATGATGGAGATGAGTATGGCTGTGATATTTTGTTGGATGAACAAGATGTATATCGTTATCAACGGCAGAATCAAAGATTGTAATTTGATGATCTCCACCATCAAACATAAAATCCAAGTCATCAACAGCACAATTTATGGGGAAATTCAATCTCCCTGGTGAGTTCCTTGAATTAGTGGTGGTCTCAGATGAAGGAGAAGGCTGGGGGTGTGTTTGTTGTTTACTATTGCTAAGACTAGCAAGCTTTGTGATTGGTGGGAATAACTCTTGATATCTGCGAGTACCATAAATTAAACGATTGATGAATTTGTAAATATTGAATTGGATTGATAATAGTCTAGGTGAAGTGAATGGTTGATAGATCGACGGGGTGGTGGCGGTCGAGGTGGTGGTAGTGCTGGGGGTGGTGGTAGTAGTGTCCGTTGCAATAGTATAAACTTGTTTAGCTTTTATGCTAACTACCCCAAAGGGTAACGATTTTGTCAAATCTTCGTAATTTGAATCAAATAATAAGCCGAGTGATGTGACAAACATTTGAATTTGTTACTTTTGTTAGAGAATGTGTGAGTTAATGCAAACGGGGGCGGTAGTAGATCTAAACTATTGATAAGTCAAGTTTTCGATATAGTTGCATGAATGTGATGGAAGGACTCAAAGTGGCAAAGTTGCAATACAAAACAAGTGTTGTGAATACCAAACGGATCGTAAAAAGTAACAAAAGCAGTCGAGAAAATAGATTGAAAGCGGATCCGATGAATGTAGTGTCGTAGCAGTGCAAGTTATATGACTGCTTGTAAAGTACTCGAAGTGTTTTGAATTGCGGGGTGGTTAGTTTCTAGCTCGTGAAATTTTGGTCTATTGATTTTGTTGTTGTCTCTCTCGTGACCAAATGAACAGGAAAAAAAAAAGAAAAAAGAAAAAAAAAGAAAAATTAATAATTATTTGGTTTAAGTTGGGGGTGGAGTAGTGGGATTTCGTTGATTGTAGAACTATACTCCAACAGGTTTGTTGTTTTGTATGTCTTGGTATAATGTTGTCTCCACTGCTCAAGTAGCCAAGGCGAACAAAAGTTTGTAAAAAAGAAAAGACTCCAAAGATGAAAAAGTGTATAAGAATGGAAAAATGAAAATGAAAACTAAAATGAAATTGAAAATTTTCAAACAATAAATGAAAGGTTGGACTAAGTTCTATATATATCTGTTTACAGTTCGATTTATTATGTTATATACAAAGTTTGACATATTGTGAGTTGAAAATAAAAAGATTTGATATGATATAACATGAACCACAATTTTTTTCTTTCTCTTACTTTTTGTTTTGAGTTAAATTAATTTTGCAAATCAAAGATAGATAAATATGTATGATTGATTAAAAAAAAAAAAAAATAGATTAACTGTAATACAAAGAGAGTTAGAGGGTTACACAAAATATTATATATTTGATATTTATAAAAATAGAACAGAAAAAAGTAGGTGGAGTATGGGATTAAAGATAAATAATTAAGCGCCTGAATTTATTTTTATACAAGAGAGGACAAAGAAAAGAGAAGAAAAATAGAAACACAATATCAAATAAAAGGGAAAACCATGATTAATTCTGATAGACATATAGATAGCGCAACAATTAAAACGAGATTACAACAAGAGGGTTGCAACGGTGGAACAACAGCAACAATACGAAGAGTGAAGAGATTGATCTACGGGTGCGCAGGTTTTGGTTAAATAGATTGCTAGCTCAAAGCATCTCTTTATGGGACGAAGAATGACTCTGTGCCTGTATGCCTGTCTGTCTCTCTGTCTGTCTGTTTGTGTCAAAAAACACCCCGCTGATCTGTATCCACCTTCATCCGAAGGACAGCGCAACATGGACCAATACAGTAAAGGAATGCCTAAGGGTCAAAATGAAACTCCTCACTGTGCATGGTAAAAGCATACACATATATAGATATTGTACAGTGATTATTCCGACAAACAAACGTTTGAAAAACCAAATAGAAATAGATTCCCCGAATAATGCAGGAAGGACATTGTAGCAGTGCATCATCCACCCCTCACCTTCGAAAGAAATGAGGAAAAAGAAGGTAACTCTGGTGACTCTGTACGAGAGTGGAGTTTGTTGCATCTTTCATTGATGGTGACTGGCATTCACAAATTACGATAGAGTAAGCAGAAAGACAATCTAGTTCGTTGTACGATATTTCTTTCCCCCTTCCCCCTTCCTTCTTTCTCTCTCATCTTTTCAAGAGTAACATCTCTTTGTGATATTTCCTTTTTTTTTGACAGCTTGCATATCTTTATATTGTACGCAATTTCAAAGAGAGAGGAAAAACTTGAGGCAAACTTACATGGCCCTTTGTATTTTTTTTTTTTCTGTAACTCTCGCGAATTCATTTCATTGGAAATAGGACAATAAAACCGCGCGCCTTTACCTTCCATAAATAGATACAAAAGTAAATAAATGTTGACGAAATGCCGTACGAAATATGCACATGCACAGTCACACCCAAACACACATACCTAGTATTGTTTCTGTTGCATATAATAACAGTAGTTTATAGCGAAAAAAAAAAAAAAAGAAAAAAGAAAAACACTAACAATATTGAACGGCATTTTTTTTCTAGCCCACCACCACCACCACAGCTACAACAGCTACCACAATAACACTGACAACAATAGAAATAACAACATCGCACACCTTTATCACACCATCTTACACTTGTTTAGTTTCTGTGTTTTACTTCACAGTTCATCTACCTTCTCAGTAGCCACAAACAACACACACACACACATACTCCACACTATTCTTTCTGTGTTGGCGGAATCTCTCAAGCCTCGATAAAAAAGAAGTAAAATTGTTAAACGACAAGCGTCAGTGTTGATGTTGTTAATGGAAGAGAGAGAGAAGAAAAAAAAAAAGCAAACTTTTACTCTGTTGTATATCTTCCCGTCGGAACAAAGAAAGTAATAATTTAAGAAGTTTTACATCTCTTACACTTTCTTCTCCCATGTCCAAACTATTGTTTGTGCACTCAAGTCTACGTCTCTGTATCATTATCATTATATTGATTTCAATTCCTGACTCGTAACCATGAAGAAGTCAAATCGGAATTCTGACTTTTTGTCATGCTGTAAAATGTTTTTCTCTGTTCTCGTTGCTTATCTCTCTCTCTCTCTCTCTCTCGCCACTCAAAGTAACAAGCGGTGATTGTCTTTCTTATCTCTAATACTCCCCACAACAGAGGGAAACCAAAATACAAAACGAGATTGGTTTACTTCGCTGTCATTATCCTTTGATCTGGCTACTGATCAGTTTTGTCTTTGCTGAACCCGATAAACTCGCTTAGATTCTCCTTCATTCACCAATAAACTTTCTTAGTATCTTTTGTAATCGGTCTCTTTTCTTGCTCTTTTCAAGACCCTTGATATCTCTATCAACGCTAGAAGAAACTCAGCTTCAGTCTCACATGCTGTTTCCTTTTCTTTGATTTTCTACAACTTTCATTGGAATCGCGAACGTGAATGATCTGGGGCGATAAATTCACCTCTTTTACTATTTCTTGTAAGGAATTTGTTGCAAAAACAAAACAAAAATGAAATGTAAAATCACAGACGAACAAGTGGATACTTTTCTCACGGATTAACAAAATGGATAACATGCTTATTTTATGACCTTACCACATATAAATCTCTCACCTTTAACTTTTTCCATGAGTGTCTTTAACAAAAAAAAAAAGAAAAGCTTGGTAAAAAAAAGTAAATGATTCTGCCCAGGATCGAACTGGGGACGTTATGCGTGTTAAGCATATGCCATAACCAACTAGACCACAGAACCATTTTATAGAAAAGAATATGTCTAGAATTAACAAGTAACATAAAATCTTGAACGAATCCAAACCCGAAATAGACATGAGCCTAGATACTTAAGTCACTGAAAAGGACTACAGGGTGTCCAAAACACATGTATCTTCCAATTTTCTTAGATCTGATTTTGGTTGCTGGTTGTACTGTTGCTTTTTAACTTTCAAAATCCTTTTGTCATTTCAAAGAATCGAAGTTATAAATTCTAAGCTTGGTTCTTATCCTTTACCTTTATCCGTATGTACGGCATATGTACATTATTTCTCTGCATTGATGACATTTTCTTTAGAAACTGACTGGTTTCGTATGGTAGGTGTTAGAAACTTGTGTCGTTAGATATGCTACAGAAAAGACCAATCTTTTGCAAAGACTTCCCTACCGTAATTTTAACCAATTAAAGACCGTTGTGGGTGCTTCTCTATTGGAAGAGAGAGATCAACCACCAGCCGCTTCTATTATAGAGCACTCTACTCTGGTTTAAATCTACTCTGAAGTGGCTAGCGTGTTCAAAGAGAGCTCACGATTCCATTGAAATTCTATGAGACTGAATATTCATTACAGGATTTCAAGGGAAATCCATCATGAACGAGACAGAAAAGAGTACTTCGTCACGACTCGTCAGTCCCCGTGCTTTTACTTTGGAGAATAAATACAATGAAATACTCCATAGTGCAAATCATATTTGTATACATTATAACTTATTAAAACTCCGACATCGCATCAAACACCGTCAAACTCCCCTTCTTGAAACCGCATCCGTTAAGTAAAATTACTCATACAATAAAAAAGGCCCCAGCAACAACCAATGCAATTGCCACAACAGCAATTTGCCCAAGACCCGATCCTTGTTGTGGATCATCCTTGGGATCTCCTAGTCATTTAGCATCACCTTGTCTTGGAGGAAACCCATGCAAATCAGCACCACTAGCTGACTCACATTTACACCATTCTTCCTTTGGATATGAGCTCATGGCTGCGGCAACGTGGTTTCCACAACCTTTCCAGGTCCTACCTCCTGAGTGAAATACTATTAGTACTTATATTGAAATTCAAAGGATGAGCATTGAACATACCGCAAACTTGACAATTAGCCGACATGCACATCTTGGTTAAATCGTGTAAGAGTGGTGATTGGGATATGGACTCTGTGCAAGTGATGAAGAACCCTTTTAGTAATTAAGTTTTCAGGGATCAAGATTTTTTTTAGAGCGTAGTCATTCGTTTGTCACCAAAAGACTTTTCTGTTTTTTTTTTTTTATGTGCTGCTTATCCGAATCCTGACTGAATCATGCATATCTATGCTCGTCTAGAGGTAAGTACTCCGGAGATAATAGATGAATTCTATATTTTGTGCTAGGGACTCGGGAAGGATGTTAGATATTCTACACCTTTACACGCTCTCACAAGCAGTGCTATTGATGTTATCTTGGTTTCATCCTGAAAGATATACTCTGCTTGTCTGTGTCATCAGCGGAGTATTGCATATCCCCGCAGTTTCCACTTAAGTTCAGTGATCATTTTGAAGTCAACAGCTCTCCTCAGCAACGCTGTTAGCACTCTTCAAAGGCATTCCTGATATTCCCTTCACAATATTGAACTTTCTTACAGAGGTGGCAGCAATAAAATTCCATTCCACATACAGTTGAATTTCGGTAGACGTGTTTCGTTTACAAGCAAAATGGTCAAGTATAGTTTACATTTGGCAAAAGAAGCATGCACAAAGATAGACAATTGTACCGAATCAGCCAGGGTTGTGTAACTCACGGATTCTTCGGTAAAATTGCGAGGAGCATAGCCGTTTGCATCTTGCTTGTGGCTTTTTTTCTTTTTTTTTTATTTTATTTTGATTTGAGACATTGTTTCGTAAAACTGACAACATATTTATGGTTATGAACTGCAGCAAACGCGTTCTTTTTTCACACCCTTAATGAATGACTACAATTATGAAAGGATTTCCCGGGTCTTCCACTCCCCTGCATAGTTAACAGTGGACGCTGTGTAATGCTGATATTGATCGAACGCATCATCTGCGCATCCAAGGCATGATGCGAGCTTCCCCAAAAAAAAAAAAAGAACGCAATCCCAAACAAGGTATCATCGTTGTGCACGATGACGTCTCTTCCGATGGTTCCACAACAATGGCTCAAGAGAGGAGGTTGTTCTCAAACTAGCTCAATTTGGTGATGCCAAGTGAGTATCGGAATGTAATGAATTACAGAAAATACACAACATGTTTTTGCTAATAAAAGGCGCAAACCATAAAGAGAAGAAGGCTATAGTTTATAAAAATACACTAAGTGTACTAGTGGAGGTAAAGGAAGGTTTGAAGCGAAGTGAGGGTCTGTTTTCAAGACGAGAATGAAGTTGAAAAGACGGAATCAAATAGTCATTGGGTAAACAATTTGAATAGAGAAGCCAGTGATTACGTGGAATATGGGGCAGCTCCACAACCGTACAGACTATGCAAGATGTCACTATAGATAACCACACAGATGTCACACTGAGTTTTTGTTGGAATTTTTTTTTTGCGTTAAAATCAACAAAGCAGGTTTACGAGAGTTAGCTGATGATAGTAGTGTGTTTAGTGTATAGATGCACAATTTAAGGAACGAATTTTTTGTTTACCTTTTTTTTCTTTTTTTTTTGATATGTAAACAGTTACACAAAAGTGCCATAACAGTTCTATACGATTCTATGATTCTAGAAACATACAGAGATCACCTTATAGAGTGCCTGCGGTGCTTTTGTTGAATAAATATATCAAACACCGATTCTTTTATCTACCCTACCACCTTCTTGATCTAGATTATAAGATTACTTTGGTATAAAAGTTGTTCAAGATAACAAAAAAATAAAAATATAAACAAACATAGAAATTAAGGGTGCTTCTGTTTATTCGACTGTTCCTGTCTATAATTTTTTTATTTTTTTTTTTATTTTTTTTTTTATTTTTTTTATTTTTTTTATTTTTTTTATTTTTTTTTTTTTGTTTCTTCTCCAATTCGCGCCCGCGTTTCATTCATTTATTAATAGAATAGCACAATTAAGAGAGAGAGAGAGATATACCAACCATATTATTACAACGTAGAACTTACCAAAATAGGATGGCGTTGAAGGGGTTTGTGTATTTGAACAACAGTAACCAAGCGTTGTTAATTATTTGATGTTTTTGTTTTTAGTTCTTTTGCCCCTCTTTTTTTTTTAACATTTTTTTTTTTTAATTTTAACATTTTTTTTTAATTTTAAACAGCTAATCGAGCCTTCAACTGAAATTACTATCGACCTTCTTCTTCTTCTTCCTCTTCTTCTTTTTAAACTCACTTTCCCAGAAAATCTACATAAGCCTGATACACAAATTACAAGAATACGCATATATATAAGTATCCGTGAGATCACGCTCAGTTCCAAATCGTCCTATTTTTTTTTTCACCTATAACTTTTTTCTCAACTTCATACATTACATTTCAAAAGAATCTTTCAAGGGGTTGCTCAGCTACTCAACACTACCCAACACTAGTCTTTCGTTTTATATCTTTTTCATCACAGTCTATCGTTATTCTTAACTACAGTCACTCATTTATCAACATATAACCGTTCTTTTTTTTTTTTTTTTCTTTTTCAACAACCCACATCTTCCTATTTACTACACGTTTCATTTCACTTTTTCCACCTGCCACATTTCAACATGAGCTACAAAGTTGGCTTCTCACAAAAACTGCAACAAGACTTGCTCGATCAAGAACTTTCTGCTAAAGGTAATACTGCTCTTACTGCCACTGCCATTGAACACGAGAATACGGCTTTATTTCATGAACAACAACAGCAACAGCAACCAGACGATTACTCCAAGAGACGGAAGTTGCCAATAATTGTTGATGTTGCACTTGATGCTAACGGTAAACAATTGTACCAAATTCACGAGTCTTCCAAGTTGGTGCGAAAGGAGATGCCTCGTTCAACAAATTTCAATCTTCACAGCGAGTTGACTGCTGAGCAACTTTCATTTATCCAAAATGGGGGAGATTTTACAGATATCAGCACCAGTCCTTTGAAAGAAGGTACAAGCGGATCCAAGAGCTTTCATCAAGACGACTATTACACCCACAGTAGCAACGATCATGACGTATCATTCTTCAACGAAGGTAATGCCAGTGTGGACCTGGTAAGTAACACCCACACCAACCCTGACCTCTCACATACCAACAAGCTCAACCATGAAGGGTTTTCTCGTGTTGAAGATACAGATATCTGGTCCGAAGATGTTGAACAAGCTTTTGAAGAAGTTTTAACATTCATTCCCAAAAATGGCTTGAACAAGATCAAGATTGCTGGTCGATCTTGTGGAAGAAACGAGCTCATATCCGATTATATCTTCACCAAGACGGGTAAATTCAGAACAAGAAAACAAGTGTCTTCTCATATTCAAGTCATAAAGAATTTGAAACAAAACGACAAAATCATTGATTTGATCAATAATGGACCCAATGTTGCAAATGATCAAGATCAAGCTCAAATTTTAAAGAAATTTGAAACTGTGTTTTCCAAGATCAATATTAGTAAGTCGTTGGGTTTCAGTAACTCAATGAAGAGAAAGCTGAGTGGCAATGGTTGTGCCACCACGAGAGGACGCAGTGGGGGTGTGGCTTCTCAGATAGTCCCAATCCACTTACCTGCCACAAAGAGAAGAAGAAAAAGTCACACACTGTCATCATCAAGTACAGACTTGCCAGAATTGGAGATTGGCAACTTTAGCATGTCAATTACTGATTGCAATTCAGAACCCATTCTCTTGACTATCGAAAAGAATAGCTTCAACAAGTATGGTATTTTGAAGCATTTGAAATTGAATGATAATGCCAGTATATCCCATCGGTTCCCTGGAATGGCCGAATTTGAAAATTGTCCTCAAATACCAGTGTTGCACAATATGGCTCGAATTTACCTTCCTGATGAGTTTTCACCTAAGCTTTATGACGTTGGTTCTGGCTTTCACGCAAGCTACAACTTGAAATGCAAGAATCACGCACAATCATTATCCACATCGTCCCCAACAACAACAACAACAACAACCACAGCACCAGCACCAACATTGTTAACAACCAAGCTTAAATCAAAGCAGTTTAGTATATTCACATGCATCTATTCCTATGGTCAGCAAGTATCCAAATATAATCAGTCTGGTATCCATTTGAATGAAGAGTGTCAATTTTTAAGCAACTTTTGGAAACCGTTCACTCGGTTCGTGCTTATGGGTAAACTGGCTCAAGAGGTAGCTACGGCTTTAAGAGGGCTTTCAATCAAACAAGTTGTTTATGAATCTCACCATAGTAGTAGTTGTGGTAGTGACCACGACCAGGACGATTCCGCTTTTGTGAAAGACGAAGAGCTGTTTGTGGTGTTGAAATCCAGAGTTAAGTTGGTTTTACTTTGGGAGTTTCTGCAAGTTTACGACCCAGTGCAGGCAATAACGACAACTACAAAAATTATCTTACCTGGTGGTGTCAATAATGATCACTTGGTGACTGCGGATGAAAAGATCGTACCGCAGGTTGTCACGTATAATGTTGCGAATGATGAGTCATACCAATATCAGAACGTCGATGCCGTGGACTATGATATGGAATCAGCTGTCCAAACAGGCCCTTCAGCAATTTCAAATTTCAAGATCGGAAAAGCTACAACTAGTCCCAACACAACATCCATCTCAACATCTGGCTTAGATCATTGTGAAGGTGTAACAGCCGCCACTACGGTCACTACTGCAGCACAATCTCGTTCAAAAGGGCTCCCTTCACTACATGGTGAGTTTGGACCAGAGCCACAAAATGTACGCCAGTTCTTTGTCGGCGATGCATATCTGCAACAGCAACAACTACTACAACAGCAACAACATGTCTTTGACACAGAGGCTACACTCTCGAACCAGAGCCATCCATTTCACCATGTATCACAACAACAGTCATCTTTCTCATACCTGCATATTCATCCAGATTACGAGATCCAAATGCAGCCTCAGATTCCTGTCCACTACCACCATGTTCACCCACACTCGGGATACAAGCTACATCAATCGGCTCACATGGATCTTATGATGGTTCCAACAGGCTCTGTGCATTTGGAACCAGTTTCCAATTTTCAGGAGTATCAGTATGCGAACCAAGGGTTTACACAAGGGTATACCAGTGACTATTGATATATACTTTCAATTCAAGGGAGTTTTCTCCAAAGCTGCAATTTATCAACTGAGTTGTTCTCTTTATTTTTTGTTTTTTATTTTTTTTAGTTTCATTATTTTTAGTATTGTATTTAGTATCATTGTATTAGATTATGTATAATCGAAGAGCATCGTCGAATATGTCTATGATAGATGACGGGAGAGTGCTATTGGAGTTATCCTCTGCAAAACTTCAATCCTCTGTATGCAGCTTTGTGCGACATTAGACCGAGGACGAGGTTAAAAAAAAAACGATGCGATTAATTAAAGAAATCCATTTGTGACTCTGAAAATTAACAAAAGCAACAGCAACAAGACTTGAATCTACTGTCTACCTACTTTATCTACATCTTTCTACACACACACACACACACACACACACACACACACACACACACACACATACACACACAGACACACACGGACAATTTCTACATAGCAGCTACACCAGAAACCCTTTTTTAGCATCTCTTGAAAAGCATGTCATATTACGACATCGATGATATTCTAGCTGACGCTGAGAAA